GCCACTCTCCGACATGTGGCACTTGAAATTCGCGGTTTCTCTGAGTTTCGGTGCTTTCCTTTTGCGCTTTGATGCTGCTGGCTTAGATAAGTGTTTAAGAATATTCTGGATAATTCGAGGAACATCACCAGGCTTAGGTGTCCACCTGCCACATGGACTTTTCATGTTTCCCCTTACAATGTGCTCGTAGCAAGTGATTAGGTCCTCGGATTAGAAATCTAAGTCGGATATGTTGGTGGCAATGTATCTCGCATTAACACAATGTAGAGCAATGTTGACGAAGCTACTGGTGTCCCCTCTGATCCAAAGTTATGTCCAGAGGTAGAAACTTGGTTGCCTGCAGTACAAAACCGAAGAAAGTTCCAATCTAGGAATGTCGAGCTTATCCAAAAAGTCCTGTTTTTTTTTTTTTTTTTCACAGTTGTTCAAAAGAAAGGTATGGCCGAAATCGACAAGGTAGCGGTTTTAACAAAACACTTCCCCTTTGTCCTTGGTTGTAAGGAGAAGCTTGTTCCCTCGTGCGCATACAGCGAACATGGTTTAGGAATCCAGTTGAAACTCACGAGCTTGCAGATGGTGTCAACTTTTCTCAGTTATGTTGATCACATGAAGATGTGCACGGGCTGTCATAGCAGCTTATTTACTTCAATTTTGACCGCAACATCAGCCCTCAAGATCCTGTATGTGTAGAGGAGTACTTTCAGGCTGTCCCAGAAAGACTTATGTCTTTGCTGTCATCTAGAAGGCCTTTTGTGGAATAGCAGCTGTTCAGACCTTGAGAACTGCAGGTTAATTTGGGGGTTTGAAGAAGTGCCTCTGATTGCAAGTGTTTTTCTCAGAGGCAGAGTCACTTCGACAGCCCGGCATGCTGCAGGTCGGCATGTTTACTATGTTAAACTGCGAATTCACTCAAGCATACATGATTGTCGTGTAACCTGTTAAATACTATTTGCGATGTCCGAAATCTAACCTTCAAGCTCTCGCCGATGTGGTATGAGCAAGCAAACTAAAAAAGAAAAACATTCAACGCTAGCGAGAAGCCGGCGGCGGCAGTGGCTTAATCTCAATGCTATCTATGCCAGCGCCGCCCCACCACTCGGCACCAACTCGGATACGAGTTGGTGCCGCCTCCGGAGCGGGCTTTTCCGACTGACAGTATATAAAGACATTGGCCCGAGCGGCAAGGTCTCAGGCTTATTGCACCCCGCTTGCTGGGAGCAAGACACGTGTTTGGGTAGTGTATGTGTGTATGTTTGTGGCGGTGCTGGCCTAATGGCCCCAATGAGTGCTGTGGGACTTGTTATTGGACAGTGCAGTATGAACCTATTTCCTGATTTAGGGATCTGGGGAAATGAGACTGTTTAAAATCAGCCCTCGCGAACTGTTCAGAGTGCTTGTTCAATGGAGAGCTTTTCAATGTAGAGCTTTGAGCCAGAGAGCTGTCGCCATGCACATAATCTAAATAAGCTCTCTCTACTAAGTTCAACTTCCTGCTGCCTCGACATTTCCTGCTCCCGGATCTCCGGTGCCTGCGGCAGGTCGGAACAGCACCCACTTTGACCCCCAGCGACACAGATATTAAATAACAGGCACCAAAAATTCGTCAAATTATTGAGCACTGAACGGTAAAATAATTACGGCACGTGTAGAAAGGAGCTTAACACACATGCTTTTTTTTTTACCTACGAAACACACTATGCGTAAACTCAGGCGATAAAAAACGAAGCATGCGTAGCCTATGCACTTCAAAAAAATAAACATACAAAAATTAAAAAATATGGTTCCGGGTAAGGTGCAAGACATTCAAATACAATTCATATGTGCTACAAGTGTGCAACAAGAATCAGTGTTACAAATGTAAACCTATTTCCAGAAAAGTGGCTTCCCGATGACTTAATGAAACCGGCGATAGGCTAACGCAACAGTCTTTTCTTCTGTTAATGTGAAATGATTCAACTATTTCCCTGGTTAGTTGGTTTACGTGATGAAAAACGACTATGGTGTCATCAAATAGTAGCACGCAGCCACACTGAGAACAGTATTGTTCTGTAATGAATTTAGTTGCGAGTGTCGTGTCTTTCTCGATTGCTACTTAACCTTATAGTAAAATGATGGATCACCATCTAGCCCAGTTATCAACCTTAGTGAACTTCATTTCTATTATGCTTGTATCGGCAGGCCTACTCCAACAATGTCTTCAAAATACGTCAAAATCTACATATTGTCACGGGTGTAGAAAGGTACCTCAGGCACTGGCGCCGAAACAATACAGAAGGAATGAAGACGACAATGTTGTTGTGGGGCTGTGTCTGGGCTGCCTTGTTGTCCTGCATCCTTGCGCGCTGTTGCAGTGTCAGCCCAATCAGTGTTAACTTATTAAATACTCCCCACTACAATATGTAGCCCACTATCATGAATATTTACTGGTAAAATTGACTAGCTGTGCAAACTTAAAGGAAAACGAAAAGGGAGACAGGTCTGCGCTTTTTTCTGTCTCCCTTCTCATTTTCGTTCAAGTTTGCGCAGCAAGTCCATTTTCAAGTATGAACCAATTAGTCTGCTAGAAAGTATTGCTTCACGGGTAAGTTTGGATTTCACTGGGCTTGAAAGAGCTCAGAAGAACGTATAAATTGCAGTGAATGAACAACATAAATACAATACAAATCTTTGTTCTTAATAGTATAATTTTGATAATGTATGAAACTTTGCATCCCGAAACCACGATATGACGCCGTAGTAGAAGGCCCCGGAAATTTAGACCATCTGGTGTTCTTTAATGAGCACTTACATAGAACAGTACACAGGGCTCCACCACTTCCCCTACATAAAAATGCAACCGCCGCAACCGGGATTGAACCTGTGGCCTTGGGGCCAGTAACCAAGCACCCTAGCCACTGTTGCACTGAGGCGTATTGTTCTTGATGATGATAATAATATTATCTGGGGTTTTGCATGTCAAAACCATTATGAGCCTTGCCGAAATGCAAAACTTAGAATATTTTCAACCATCTGGTCTTCTTTAACGTGCAATGACATTGCATAGTTTAAGCACTGCAGCCGGGATAGTCTTCTTTCCTGTGCTCGTCGTATTCCTTGTGCTGATATGTCACTCAGTCCTGGGCCACTAATCCAGCTAAAATGATCCAGCCTGTTCACGAGAGCATGTTCAGAAACAAATGAAACTACCAGCGCAGATAGCTCGCAGGAGCTTCGAAAAACACCTGTGTCGCCGATAGCTAGCGCCAAAGAGGCGAGTTGAAAGGGAACTAGCGATTTCACGGGCAAAGATGGGCATTCGGTGGCCCGCATCGAAGGGGAAGATTAAGTGGCCGTGCTCTATGTAACAAAGTAACAGTGCGAAAAACTCTTGATATATTTAATTTTCACCATGGACAACCTTAGAATATTGTCCCGAATTTTGTCATTTGGGCACGAGCATGGATCTTCCGTGGCCCTGGCAACTCCAGGGCCAAAGCTAGCACTCGTTACTGCATGCAGGTGGACCTCGCACTATCATGTGCGTATGTGCCTCCAAACCCCCAAAAAAATTACTTTTGCGTTGGCAGTGCCACTCTTTTATGGCTGCAGAAGTGTCTGAATGTCACTTGTTTAAGTGCATAGGTGATGCCGTTTGAAAAGAAAAAAAACTTTTTTTTGCGTTGCAACGCTTGCACTTAGCGTCACATGTTGCGCTGCACATACAGAGCGCTGTACTGAATAGTATTTTACGGTATCTGTGTCGTTTGCTCTTCAGTTTCAATGCCATGCGGACGTGCACGATTTCACTGCGCACGTGGAGTGGCCCACGACGATGTTTAACTTTGCTTTTACAGTAGACTCGCAATAATTCAAGGTCTGATAATTTATACCTTCAATAATTTCAAACAAAATTTGCAATTTTTTTTGTTGGCCCTCTATTTTTTCAATATATTTAAAAGCCTCTTAATTCAAACTCCATCATTCGGTTAATTCATACTTTTTGCAGGTTCATATCAAAAAATATCTGCTGCTCTCCCACTACTATTTAAAAGTGTGTGTGCGTATATAATCCTGACAGTCTATAAATGAAAAATAACCATATAAAGCCTTCAAGGAAAAAAGGCTTTGCAAGTAAACAAATGTTTGAAATCAAGCGTGTGCATGGTAAACCGTGACGCTTCTCAACTGGTATAGACAGCTTTGTGCTAAAGGCACATACCTATAGCAATGAAGCAGTTGGATATTCACGATTCTGTAAAAGGTCTGATCAGCAGTAAATGGCCAATAAACTTGTGTACTTTACACATCCGCTTTCTGTTCACTGCATGCAGTTAGGGCTTAAAGACACCTAAAGTTTTTTAATGTGATAAAATCAACACCTAATCATAATGTGTGCTGTCACCTGACCCGGAGTCATCTATTTGAGAGATTCTGAGAATTCAAACGAAATTCAGAAGTCCCTTTGAGTTTGAATTAACGAGGGTCGGCTGTACTTATTTATTTTATGCGGACAGCCACGTTGTCACTACCGAGGAAATGTTCGATCGTGACTGCGCAGCACTCACTTGATGTCCACTATATAGGAGGCTACTACTCTCAGCACCCCGAGGGCAAAAGTTCTACCATGCAGCTTTTTAAACAGACATGCCGCAGGGTAGTTGGGCTCAAACCCATTTATGATGATGTGATTTCGACATTGGTTACTATGCATAAGGTGCCATAGTCCTGCGTATCTCGCGGAAGCATATCACGAGCGACAGTACTAAAAATGAAGCTGTACCGTTATGCTAACAATAAAACAAAATTCAGAAAAGCTTCTGCTGCAGTTAAACCTGGATATAATAAAATTGACAGATTCCTGGGAAAGTTCATTATTGAAAAGATCTGGTTATATACAGGTTGTTGGGTCTCAAAATGAGGCAACCCACTCTCAGAGCACACGGATACATTTTTACTCGCCTTGTGGCAAAAGACTAGGCCATCACCGAGTCAATCTTTTTTGTGTTTTCCCTCCTGTGCAGGTTCTGATAGCCACAGCGACCTTGGCTTGGGGTGTCAACTTCCCGGCCCATCTGGTTGTTGTAAAAGGCACCGAGTACTATGATGCCAAGGCTTCACGCTATGTGGACTTTCCGATCACTGGTTTGTTGAACACACTGAGCCTTGCTTTGCTGGACTATCACGCTTTATTTATGCTACATTATCATTTTCAGTATGGGCGGTAACAGCACACAAACTCACGGGACGAAAAGAAGGGACGCAAACAAGCGCCGTCTCTCAACTGAAGATTTATTGAAATATACAAATCATCTGAACACATAAGATAAAAATGCGGAGCATGTGCAGAGGGGCCAGCGTGGGTCTAATTTTACGCTATGGGTAACTGCGCAAGCGCTATATATTCAATTCCAACAAACGTGCTACTGATTAAGATTTTTTTTTATGTAAAGATATAGATGTTTGACTAACGCAGGACTCCCCTTTTTTTTTTTATTTAGAATACTTCCGTAAGTTCTCTTGTGATCTGATCGTTATGTTTAAAGAGCACTGTCGTTTCATTGAACAAAGGCTGGCACCCACAGCTTGAGCTAATGAATTGTGTGAAAGAATGCATTACGGAGGATAACGACGAGTGAAATTTCCAAAACCAATGTGGTTTGAATGTAGAAACATTTCTAGAGTTATTGATGTTCTATTTGCGATCAACTTTTATTGTTTTGGAAAGGAAAACAATGGTCCAAAAAGTGGGGGTCTGTATTAGGTTTTGGGTGGCAAGAGTTCTCAGCGACATCTTTCTCAGGAAAGTGGATTCCAGACTCAAAAGAAGTTTGAGGGGAAGGTGGTTCATGTCGCCCATTATGTGAATGATTACTTGATAGCAGTTCCCAAAAGTAAGGAGCACATGAATGTTGAAAAGGTTCTGCAGATCTTTGAAGAAACTGAGATGGGGCTGAAATTCACCAGCAAAATGCCTTCACAGCATGCCTTACAGTTCCTAGACATAAAGATAACTTTTGCCAACCACCGCTATTGTTGGGCGTATAACCCAAGATCAGTAACACCTTTTCTTACTTACAAGTCTGGTAGTGAAGAAGGACATCGCTACGTCTAGGCTTGGGGCTGCGATTCTGAAGTCGTGCAGGCACCAGGTGGAAAAAAAGCTTCTATGAACAGGTGTGTCGCCTTCAGATAACCAGCTTCCCGACGCCTGTTATCACTTCTGGTTGTGAAGGTCTGATACGTCCAAACAAAAAAGGGAGAAAAAAAAGTTAAAAAACAAGAAAGGTCAATGAAATGTGCCATTATGCCCTACAAGCATCGATTAGCCCATGGACTAAAGAATGTGGCATCACGATTCGATGTACAGTTTCTATTCCCAGCAACAAACAAATTAGGAAAATTGTGCCCTATGGTGAACAAAAAGCATAACAAAAAGAACTCTAGCCAAAATAAATGCAGTGCAAAACACAGGGACGTTTCACTACTTTGTGTACTAGGCGTGGTGTACAGAGTTCCCTTAACATGCGGAAGGGTTTATATCGGGCAAACAGGGTGTTGTCATTATGTACGGCTAAAAGAACATTCTGGAACCTTCAAGACCAGCACGTACGCGAATCTGCCTTCGCACTGCCACACAAGTGGGTGCCGGCCTTTGTTCAATGAAACGACAGTGCTCATAGCAATCAGATCACAAATGAACTTGTGGAAATATTCCAAACCGAAAAGGAAGGGGAGTCCTGCGTTAGTCAAACAACAATATCTTTACATGAAAAAGAAGAAATCCTAATCAGTAGCATGTTTGTTTGAATTGAACTTGTAGCGCTTGCGCAGTTACCCATAGCGTAAAATTGGTCCCTCGCTGGCCCCTCTGCACATGCTCTGCATTTTTATCTTATGTGTTCAGATGATTTGTATATTTCAATTAACCTTCAGTTGAGAGTCAGTGGTTGTTTGTGTTTCTTCTTTTCATCCCATCAGCTTGTGTGCTGTTACCGCCCATAATGTATCACCAACTAGCCCAACTATCAGTCTTGCTTCATTATTTTCAGCCCGTTTTCATTTACTGCTGGACAAAGAGCTAGCTCTCTCAATGATATCCAGCTTACCCTTATCCTGTACAAGCTGATTCCATTTTATCCCTGCCAACTTGTTTATTTCGCCTTCCTCAACTCGATTTCTCGTCTCTTAGTAAGCTTTCTGTTCTGACTGACGATTGGTTGTTTGTTGTACGCATAGTGTTGCCACTCCAGGTCCATTTTTTTTGCATGATGTCTACTGGTATGTGTGTCGCACTTGTTTGTTCCCCGACCCATCCTCCGATCACCTAGTGTTATTCCTATCATTTTACGTTCCATTGCCCACTGAGTAATTTTTTTGTTTTCTCCAGTGCTGTTATTCTCTAAGTTTCAGACTCGTATGTATGCAATGGTTGTATATTTTCATAGGCTTGTGCGAATAGTAAATTTCAAAGCAAATAATGATCTTGGTCAAATGATTTTAAATCATATTTGGCTTGTATATATCACATATTATGATGAAAAATAGACTTATGTCATGACCCAACTAACTTGCACAATTTTTTTTTATTGAAACAAGGTTTGTGAAAAGGCCATTCTTTCACAGCTTAGCACCCCTTTAGAGCAGTGAAACCACCTTTACAAGGGATTATTTCTCCATTTTAAATACTTCAACATTTTTGACTATTTAAATTCTAATTGAACTGAATTCGAATAATATTTGAAGCACTCAGACATTTGCAAAGGCTTCACTTTTTAACTTTATTGATATTGACAGTGGTAGATTTCCTGACATTATTAGGAAAGGGTTGCTGAATGCACTCCAGCCCATTGATATTTTTTAATGAATTATCTTTCATGATTAGTCTCTCCTATGTGTACATTATCTTGTGTACACTCCAATGTACGGGTGTCGATTTTAAACTTACTGTGTTTTGCCAGGCTATTCTGCATTATCATTTTTTCTTTATTATATACATTTAGGCCTACTTCAATACCTTCTCGCTATAACTCTTTTGTTACCACTCCTATTCAAATCAATCGCCAGTGATTCATGCTTTGAATCATTAATTTTGGCTTGTTGAATTTGTTTCTCATGTACCTAGAACTTTCTGGTAGTTAGTCCAGCCACAGGACTTTCAGAATCAGTTTGAATTTGGATGTTTTGGCAAGATAGGTAATTTTGACAGACCTTTAAACAAACCAATGTTTGTATGTTAAGAACATGCTTGGTTGACAAATTCGAGAGAGAGATTGATTAAACGTTTATTAGTATTGTCTTTTCTGGTAACTGACTGGTAACTAAAGGGGTTCTAGAGCTCCACTGGCTGTAGCGGCTCGCCGGACCTGATCCAGGGTTGCCAGTTGGCTTCCCTAGGCCTAATCCGAGAGTCGCGCCTCCCACGACTGATGTTGTTACGTGTGTGCTTGTATGAGTATTGAGATTGCCACAACAGGATGCAAGGGACAGCTGTATGTAATATGTGTAAGTGTTGGTATCTCTCCACACCATGGACACACAAGGCAACGCCCAAAGACTCGTAGATGGTTCGATTATGTCCTTAGCGAGCATCTTGCCGACTTCCGTTTGTATGGTGGTGCGCTCAGTCGTGGAGAAACAGTAAGGATGACGATGAATGGGTCTTGCACCCTGTTTTCAATACGATGAGTTACCAGAGACGTTGGGAGGAGGCGAAATTAATAACATAGCACTATGACAACAACAAAAGGCATAGGTCGTCGCTTTGGGAAGGTGAAAGGTTCAGGGAAATCATGTCGGCAACGGGTCATCAAGTGCTGCTAGGGCGGCTTGATGCCGACTGTGGCACATCGATGGCCAGGCCAACAGGGCAGTCTAAAGGTACCCAAAGTGATACCTTCGAGAAGAATTGTTCAGAGCAGGCAGGCATGCATGCTTGTTTTGCAGAAACAGTCACCAGTGAGTGAGGCAGAGCTACACGATGCGTCAGAAGAATGTCCAAAGAAAGGGTACTGGAGGGTGCAAAGTGAATGAAACGTGCGTCGCGTCTGGGCGCAAGTGAACGAACTGGACTACGCATAAATGTTGGGAAACGTGATGCTGAGGTCAGGCATATCCAGAAGCTGTAAAAGACCAGAAGAAAGATCATAAGCGCAGAAAGCGTGCTCACAAAGTCATGGCCGAGTATGAGGTCACGGGTGCAGTCATTCAGAACAGCAAAATGGACAGACCTTGCGGTAAGCGAAACTCTCAAACAGTACACATTCCAATAATGCAAGAAGTACTGCCATCGGGGATATGGACAACAGGCGGTAAGGCGGACGTAACGAGTTTGTGGAGGCGACGACAAAGGTCTGATATGACTGTTGATTGGGCTTCAGTGTCGATTAACGTCTAAACAGGCATGCCATCTACTTCCACATCCAAAATGGGTTGTTGAATAGCCAGAGTCAACAGAGGATTTCCGGATCGGTAGCCAATGCAGCATCACCTCCAGGAGCTGCACTTGTCATTTTTCCGAGGAAGGACTGCGAGAGTACACCGAAGGTGAGTGATGGGGCACAGGCAAGGAGGTTCTATAGAACCTCTGGAGTGGCAATTCTGGCCGCCGCCAATGGGAGCAAGTGAAGTCGTCGCCGGCCATATTGCTAGAGGAAAAACGGGGCGGAACTACCATAGACTGCAATGGAATACGTGCATTGCGCGCGTCGGTTTGCAGTTCCACGATAAAAAAGAAAATGAGATGGAAACCACTTTTAGGTTACACATACGAATAAATGACTCTTCTTGTTTATGAAACAAATTATTTCATGCGCCCATTGTCAGCTGCACGCTTTCAGATCAATCTGTAGTCGAGGGATGCTTCGCATATCGAGCTTGCTGACGCACTATTGCATTACAAAATTGTTGTAGTATATATTGGGTGTTTTAAGAAATGTGCCTTCACATACTCAAGATCAAGGGGAACGCGACATTTGCTTGCCTCTTTCAAATATGTGCTTGTGTGTCTGCTGATTACCACAGAATATATATAATAAAGAAGTTGAAGTAATTAAAGCTAAAGTTAGAAAAGAGAGGTAATTAGGTAAACTGGGAGTCACCAGTAATTTTTCTAGAGTTGTCGATTTCTAACCAATTTACAGGCG